ACATCATCTCATGCACTTCGGACTTGTTATCAAGATGGTCCAGTCCCTGGAGAAAGACATCGTGCTTGGTAAAGTAGAGGGTCAGAGAAAAAGAAGATCCTCAAGGAAATGGATTGACACCTTGTTGCAACAATGTGCTTAAACATAGCAATGATTGTGAGGATGACGCAGGACCTGTCAGTGTTTCATTCTGTTGTACATGGGATTACTATGTACTGTGGCGACTCGACAGTACCTAACAAAAACAACAACTCCCCTTTTTGAATCTGATATTTTCTGAGATTCCTCCTTTGAATGCCAAAAAAAAAACCACAACTCTATTTCATAAGGACTAGAGAGTAACAGGAAGTCCGTGAGTGTTGTAACTGGCTAAGCACTTGACTACTAACTGAAAAGTTGATGGTTTGAACTCACTCAGAGGTGCCTCAAAAGAAAGGCCTGGTGATCTACTTTTGAAGATTCACAGCCTTGAAAACCCTATGGAGCACAGTCCTACTCTGTGCAGATGGGGTGGCCATGAGTTGGAATCCACTCAACAGCAACTAGTTTTGTTTTCTTGTTGTTGATTTTTTTTTTTTTTTGGTTAGAGGGTCGTAAGGCAAAAGAAATGGAAAAGACATCTCTTCAAGTGATGCATTTGCTGGGAAGAAAATCCTGCTCATTATTCTTTACCAGTGAAGGTCTTTTTTAAAGTGAATCATGAGTTTCAGAGAGAGCAGGGAGAGAGACAGAGAGAAACAGATATCCCAATACAATTTTTTTTCAAAAAATTCCCATGAGAGTGAATGACAGATTATAGAATAAGAAGCAACAAAATTATTTATATACTGTTGGTGAATTATTCCTGTTTTATATATTATTTCTTCATGCATGATTCTATGACTGTTATCATTGTTTTTATTCTTTTTCATCTTTTTGTTTCTGCGTGTCATGGAGTGAATTATGTCCACCAAAAAACATGTGTATCAATTTAACTGGGCCATGATTCCCAGTACTGTGTGATTTTCCTGTATGTTGTAAATCTTGCCTCTACGATGTTACTGAGGGAGGATGGGTGGTAGTTGTGTTAGTGAGGTAAGACTCAGTCTACAAGATTGGATTGTGTCTTGAGGCAATCTCTTGAGATATAAAAGAGAAGAGCAAGCAGAGAGACAGGGGAACCTCATACCACCAAGAAAGCAGCACCAGGAGCAGAGTGCATTCTTTGGATCTGGGGTCTCTACACAGAGAAGCTCCTAGTCCGCAGGAAGATTGATGAGAAGACCAACAGAGAAAGAAAGCCTTCCCTTGGAGTTGACGCTCTGAATTTGGACTTTTAGCCTACTGGACTGTGAGGAAATAAACTTCTCTTTGGTAAAGCCATCCACTTGTGGTATTTCTGTTATAGCAGCACTAGATGACTAAGACACTGCCTTTAATACAATCCTTTCAAATAAAGGGGAAAAAAAATACCTGTAGCAAGACACTTTCCCTGAGCTCTGTGTGTTCTTGGATAAGTTATATAGACTATGTTTCTCCAAGTTCACTTTCTAAGCTGCCTGAAGGTAATTTTGGTTTTGCTTTTTTTTTTTTCCCCCTATTATTTTCATGCATGGCTACTTTTAAAAAGAAAAGGTTAAAAATAAAAACTGTCAAACATGATGGCATGCCTTACTGCAAAAAAAAAAAAAAAAATCCTTTTAGGCAGCTCTGTCTTAGACAACGAACAACTACCTGTGGTGTTAGAGCTCTGAGTCTCCATTGGTCCCTGCACCACACACGGCTGGCAACTCATTCGAAAAGAGTTCAAACGTTTTAAGGCAGATTCTGGGTTAAAAAAAAAAAAAAAAAGAGGTACAGCTTTTTAATTAGCAGACTCTTTTTGTGGGGTTGTGAAACTCACGAATACAGAACGAAAGTTGAAGACTCGGAATCTCATTTGCGTTCCTTCTTAGGCCTGTGCTGTGGTGCTATAAATAGAAGAACCTATACACAGAGATGGGTTATTTCCACCAATAGCACTTTTATTTTTCAGGAGTATCTAGAGACGTTATTCATAAGGATTCATTTCTGCACGCTTTCCTGCTGAGAATCTCTCTCTCTTGATGCTGTGGTTGGCCAACTTTAAAATACGTTAATGATCCATTAGCTACAAAGAGTAGAGGAAGAGTTATTTATCTTTTGAAATTAATACATGCAGGAGTCCTTTTAGTTCTAGAAGATTTTCTGGCATCTGGTTGTGTTATGTAAATAGTGGGCAACATTTTCCGGCCAGCATCTTTGATTTTTTTTAATCAGCTAATTTTTTTTCTGAAGATAATTTTGAATGCCCGTAGAAACTTAATAGCGGTCATTTGGTATGCCAACCATATTGTGGACTTGTAATCAAATATACTGGCAGCATTCACAGTGCCAAAATATGCAAATGTTCTCATACCCTGAGATAGGTGGTATTGTTTAAACAATGCTTTAAAATGACTGAGTGAATTTTTCCTACTTCACACTCTTGTTAAGTATAATGTACATGCTGTGGACCATATATGGAACTAGTAAATTAAAATACTCTAATCTTTGTACTTTGATAAACAAATATTATGTTTTCAGATGTATGTTAGTAAAAAAAAAAAAAAAAGCCAAATTTCTAGCCAAAACAAAGAGAGAAAATTATAATGCTTGGCATCCTTCTAAGGGCACAGTAGTAACTAAAGACTATCGTACTTATTTTTTCTCTGGAGAGAAAATTTGTCCTGGGGGCTGGCTTAAGCTCAAAATGGGCTATGCAAGAGGATCAGCCAATGACACTTTTAAAACGCAGAATCCTGGACTTTACCCCATACCTACTAAATCAGAATCTCCATCTAGGAGGGCAGGGAGAACATAGAATCTCGGTTTGTAAAAGCCACACAGAGATTCTCTGGCTACATTTTGTGGTACCAATAGCTTTTAGAAACTACTGTCATCTGAATCCACATTTCACAGAGTTAACATCTTAAAATCCTTTAATAGCTGCTTCTAAATTCACTCATCACATACATGTGCTGTGTTTTATAGAGATTTGTTCACACATGTTGTCTCTCCCAAAGAGAACAGAAGCAACTTTTATCTGCCCAATGGCATATGACACTACATCCATGAAGTAGGGACAGGGCAAATGTTGGTTGACAGCAATTGGCAGTAAATATGGTGTTCTGGTGTATAACTAAAAGCTTCACCAACATTTGGGTTCTTTCCCAGAACTACTTAATTCAGAAAAATGTCCTAACTTCCTTAGAGAGAGATTTGCAGAACAGTGTTCTATATGGTTCACAGGACTGTGAAGGATAAGATTTTTACAACTTTCTCAAAAGAAAAAAAATATATTGCACATGAATATATTCTCCCATAACTAATTTTATTAAACAATGCCAAATAAAGTCATAGTAATGTTGCAACATTTGAAGTAAAGTGGGTGAAGGAAAGTGACATTGTTTTAATCACTGTTTCCAAAAGTCAACAGTTTAACATAAGGTCCATCAATCTCAGGACACTCTTTGTGCTAGTTGACATTGCCATTTGCTTCAGGACGTGGAGAGGCATCAAAGTGGGTTAAGTGACAGTGAAAACAGCTGACCTGGTAGCTGTGGAAGAAGTTGGGATTCAGGTGTCTTTGGCAAGATCAGAACAGGAGACATCTTTAGGTAGCAAGTGTAACACGGTTGGTAGCAAAGATAGATTTTTTTTTTTTTTTTTAATATTGGTGGAAATATCTAGCACTGCAGGAATTCTTTTGGAACTTCAAGGTACAATTTGAAGTGTGTAGGGTTGCCATCTGCAAAATCTCACTTAGTAAAAGTTGACTATTTGTAATGAAGTCCTAATAGAATAATAAGATGCTTTAGAACTCTGGACATTTGCCCTTGGTTAACCAGAGAAGGTGATTTTCTCCTTTCTTGGAGCCTTGTCTATGGAATTTATCTTACTGTCTTTGCTCTAGCGGCCTGCTGATGTACAGATGCACACAGTTAGTCATCTCAGCATGAATTTGTATAACTAACTTCTCTCAATACCTAGCAAAAACAAAGAGGAAATGAGGCTTGATTTATCAATAGGACATGATTAAAATTAGTGATTTCCTTGGTTTGTAACATAAAAGCATCTTTTCCTCATTTCAAATCTGGTTAGATCTATATGATTAAAACACTTTAATCAATCAATATTTAGATTAATTTGTTTTTTATATATGTGACATTCTCCTTTATTATAAGAAGACTAATTTGGTCCCTCCAGGATGTAGCCAACAAGAGTGTTATACTTCCAGCCTTTATCCCAGAATACAGATGCTTAATACTGAGCTCTCAGAAGCATGTAGCATAGGCAGAAACAACAGATTCCAAGTCACTCCCACTTCCTCCACCTTCCCAGGCAGGTGAGAGATGTATTTTTCTTGAGCTGTGCCTTCGCAAGCACTTGCAGCCAGGGGCGGGCCACCAAACTATATTTTAAGCCTGAGTGCAGTGCAGTCAATTACAGATCCCTACGGTGCATTTCTTTCAGAATTACCAGAAGTGCTGCTCTTAGACGACTTCGTCCTCCCTCCGTAAGAGAGCTTATCACTAGCTTAAAAGTCTCCTCTGAGCTTTGAGCCCAAGAAGGGCTTTTTCTAATAGACTTTTGAAGCCCTTTATTGAGGCAGTGCCACACATATCTAATGAAGCCCTGAAAAGGCACCTACTGTGAAATGAAAGATGAGATAAATTAAAAATAAAAATAACAGCTTAAAAATAGACTCCATGGCTTCAGACAATCTATAAAGCTGTTAATCTGCTTTCAATGTAAAGTAAACAGCTAAAAATACTTATAAGTTGAAAAAGAAAGAGAAAAGGAGAAGAAAAACTCCATTTATTAGCCAAGATGCAATTGTAATTTTATTTAAATATTTAAGTATGTATGTATGTAATATCCCTATGATGTATAACGTCAAAGTTGATGTATACAATATTAATTGCTTTCTGATTGGTTTTTTAATTCCTTTCCCTTCTCAGTGAGAGTGAAAACTGGTTTTGTGAGTGTCCAAGGCGTTACTCAGGCAAGCTGTGCCAGTTTGCAACTTGTGAAAACAACCCATGTGGAAACGGTGCCACTTGTGTTCCAAAATCCAGGACAGATACTGTCTGCCTCTGCCCCTACGGAAGGTCTGGAGTCCTATGCACTGACGGTAAGAGCATTTGACTGTTAAACACGGAACGTGGGCAGAGCAGGTGAAGAGGCTAGAAGCCGCTCCGAGTAATCAGACAGCACCTGACTGATCAAATACGTCAAATCTTTTTCTTGATTCTTTTCAAGTCAGTTGAGGACAAGACTCATTAGTGAGACTGATCACTGAGCAGATAGTTCTCATACCCATCAAGCAATTACAAAGGAGGTAATGAGTTTTCCCTGAGGTAAGACTACAGAAAATCTCTTATAAAATCTCAAAGTCAATCTCCTGATAAAAGAGTAACAAGGAAAATCTGGAGCAACACATAAAACCAAATTATTTTCTATCAGTTTGGCAAACTGAAAATGTAATATTAATAAATGAATGTATTGCAGCCCGATTGTGTTTAAAGATAGGAAAGCCCATAAACCCATTGACCATTTGCTGTTGAGTTGATTCCGACTCATAGTGACCCTATAGGACAGAGTAGAACTGCCCCATAGGGTTTCCAAGGAGTGCCTGGTGGCTTTGAACTGCCAACCTTTTTGTTGGAAGCCAAACTCTTATCCACTATGCACCAGGGTTTCCATGGAAAGCCCATAGCATTGTTAATATATGTCAATAAACTAAGTCACAAACAACTAAATCAAGTGCCTCTCTTTAGGAAAATCTAGTATGTGGAAACCCTAAATTACAAAAAATTACAAAATGCTGCACCATAACATTACCTTAAGAAGCAAGTTTCCTAAAAATTTGATATTAGTTTTGATATATGGAAATGTGCTTGTAAATATTTTCAGAAATACTAAAAAATAATTGACATTAATATTTAATCAGCTCAGGACTAGACTTGTTTCATCTTTATTTCCCCATCAAGATCAAAAACTTTGGCACTGGTGCTATTTGGTACCAAATTTAAGGCTGCCAAAGTGAGCACAGGGCCCTATGTCCCGTGGCACACAAAGTGAGCAGATCCAGCCTGTGCTGATCCATCAAAATGCTGGGGCACATACCCTGATGTGACGGGTATAAAAGTTGAAACTAGAATAAAGAAGAACCTATCACTAAAGAATATTGAAGTTTTTGATATATTCACCTTTGGAGGGAATTAAAATGATGGATTTTTGTGTAGCTGGGAGAGGGGAAGCGTTAAGAAGTACTAGGAATTTCATTCTGTGTGTGGCACAGTTTTATTAGAAGAAGTTAGCCAAGTCTCTTTTATAATAAGAAAAAGTACCATAGACTGGGTGGAATTGAAGTCTAGTTCTTTGCTATAAACACTTCAGATGTTTCAGTCGTAATCATTCTTATTCAGACAAAAGCTATTGGAAAATGCAATTGATTGCAATAAATTTGATTACTAAAGGATGAATCATCATTTTTGCTTCCTACTTGAAAATTAGAGTAACAATATGAAATAAGAAATGATGGTTCAAAAGAATATCTTTCTGAATTTACAAAAAATGATTTTTTTTTTCATCTTGGTCTCCTTAGAGTTCCAAAGATGCAGAAATTCATGAATTATTAAGACAGGAAAAATTAGAAAAGATTTTAGTCTATCTGTCTCAGTGTAGGTAAGAAGATATTCCTATATGCACGTACCCAGAGGAATTTCTCAAAATAATTAGCCTGTCCATTCACGTATTCCACACTTGTGCCAGATCCAATTAAAGGTACTGGAAATGTAAAGCTTATCAAGAAAGATGAGACCCTTGCGCTCCTAGAGCTTACCTGTGTGGAGGAGGGAGAGATGTGAAGTACATGCTTGAGATAAGGGTCTGTCAGTGCAAAGTTAGTCAAAGCTGCCCAGAGCGGTGCAAAGTAGCATAGATGGAACCGGCGTGAAGGCAAGAGGGTGTGAGGCAGAACACAAGATGCACCAGTACAGGCTAAACCTATCAGTACTCCATAATGACCACTAAAATGCCCACCAAGTATCAGCTCCCTCCAGGAACCATCTTTGCCCCAACCAAGAATCAATGCTTTCCTTACTCCACCAACTAGTATGAGGTGACGCCCACAAATCATTTTTTTGGAACTTTCACTTTTATCCATCTGACCTCCAGGAGATTGTCCAGAACGTGATGAAAATATATTTATCCCACAGAGCAAAGCAAAGAGCCAACCAACGTAGAAACCAATAAACATAGTTGTTGCCCAATTACGGCTACAAGTTCAAACAGGCGCAGAATAATCTCTGGACTCCCTTTTTAGCTTTACCTTTTTGTTAATACGGAAGGATGAAAAATTAGCTTCATCAGGAGTTGTGTCTGCTACATAGCACTTTTTTTTCAAAGTATTTCCGTATCTACTATCCTAACATATTCTTCAGGGAATAATAGAAAATGTAATTATGACATTCCCTACCCTGCTGATATTTCCACTGGGAAATTCATGCCGGGATGATTGTGGCAGTGACGACTGGAGTTGAGAAAAACAAACATTGCAAATGGAAAACCTGCAGCTCCCTTCCTCTATAAAGGCCTTTACTTTCCACGTTCATGCTCCCCATTCACACTCGTGTTGCCTATACAGGAATAATCTCTTCTTATTTTCTTAACTGCATCATCGTAGAGACAGAAAGGGACACTATGCCTTGTCTCTTGCACTCTTGGTCCCTTCTATAAATATTTTTAAGTTAATTTACCATATTCTCCCAACCTAGCTGTCTCAGTGAATACAACTGTTGAAGAAAGCAGTATGATAAACCTGTTGACAGAAAGCTTAGGCTCTGGAATCAGACTGCCTGGGTTAAAATCCTCATTTTACTACTGTCTTGTTGAGATCTCGGCCAAGTCACTTGGTCTCTCCGTACTTCAGCTTCCATGTGTCTAATAATAGAACTACTTCAGAGATTTTCATGAGAATTAAATGATATAATGTATATTAAATGCCTAACACATTGCTTCATCTATAAAATGCTTGTTCGTTAAGTGTGGGAGCTGGGATTCTCACCCTTGAGGAGAACTGTCATGTCTTGTCTTTGTAGGGAGGAAGGCTGGATCTCCATTCCAGCTAAAAAGAGAACTCTTTAGGATGTCAAAGGAAATCAAAATTAATTTACTTTCAAGAATTTTTTTCTTAGTTGACGCACTCTGTGCAGTGATTAGAGACCAGCCAGGGTATTACAAAACCAGAGAAAGCAGAGCTCCAGGGACACAGATAATCACCAGGTTACTTAAGGACAGGATACCTCTATAAAGCAGCTTAATGTCAGGCTGACATTTTGTAATGGCATATTTCAAGTACATGTAATTTTCTGTCATGTAAGCTTATAACTCTTTTGATACCATCCACTCTGATATAATCCAGCTTTCTCTCTCCAGCTCAACAGCTGTTTGACTACCCTGCTGCTCAACACATCTCGACAGCCCTCATTTCCCACCATGTTTAAATCCTGTGTTTTCTAGCTTCTGGTTACAAAGAAATGTTAAAAGATAAAGCCTAATCCCAGAGGGGAGTAAGGAGACAGGGGCAACTGTGGTCATACATGAAAGCATTCAAGAAAGCAGATCCTCTTGCTCTGGGTTGAAGGCAGCCTTTGAGCAGTCTGCATTTTTTCTTCCCTGAGAACTGAGGGAATTGCCCTTCCTTATGCTCAATGGGAAGGTGTGCACCTCCTGCCTGTCGCTTTTTTCCCCCTATTTCAGCACCTGTAAAGAGGAAAAGTTAGGCTGGCACATATAAAAAAGAAGCACTTAAATATATATTTCAATGTACACAAAAATAGTCTTAAAAAATAGCCTTGGTGGACTCTTGCTTTCAAATCCATCAACATATTGAATTAGCACCTTTCTTCTATCTATGCAAGTGACTGTCCCAGCAAAGCAAAGTCACAGTTATTGTAAATTACTGTGAGAGCTGGAACTCAACGGGACTGCCTTGTTTTTCTGGTCTCTCAAGTTTTCTGCCTTTGACAGGGTGCAGTCTTATCACTTTTCTGTCACTCTTTATTAGAGGACAATATTTGCATTTTCCTTCTCTGATGGGCTTCCACTTTACACAGTTCCAGCTTTTGCAAGTTTTACTGGTAAGCAGTAAAATGAAAAATGATATTTTTCTAAGTTAGCAAACTAATAAAAAACACATTTTAGGTCTACTCCCAGGAGGTAATTTCTAATAATCATACAAAATGAAAATGCAAATTAGTTTGTAGGTTTTCACATCTCAGTTTCTAGGGAGCCATGCATCTGTTGTTGTCTGCTTTTAAACAGAGAACAAAAGATATTCGCTAGCAAACTCTTACCAATTGTATGCCTCTGGAACACCCTCAGTAGAACACTAAACTCAAAAGGCCAAATGTTCTATTTGTTCATTCCAGCACTTTGTCCTTGTTTAGCAACCTCACAGAATTCTCCTTCCCAACATAAGCATTGCCTGCTTATTAAAAATGTCTTTAAAATGGATGGACTATGCACAGGGGCAGAATTTTCTCTCCTGAATATATTTATGACAAATTGATTTTGTAGACCATGTGTGGAAATGTAAACCTCTGCAGTTTATCCTGCAGCTCACTAGAGAATTTAACTCTGCAGGTCTGTCAGTCCCGGCCCCTCCACAAAGAGTCTTTTTTTTTTTTTTTTTGTATAAAATGAATACTGTCAGATCCTACCACACCCATCAGGTTATGCTTGGTCAGTTTAAGAGCTATGCTAATGTACTAATGTGATCCACCTGCCAGTTACCAGGCAATGGCGAGCACAAGCACATCTGTTACATGTTAAAAAAAAAAAAAAAATTCTTCATAGAAATGGAAAATTGATTCCGGTCTGAGTAAATTTATGCTTCATAAAAAACTGAAGTCAACATTTTATAGAGAGGTAGTAGAATTTATTGATTGTTAGGAATGAAACAGTGGATGGAGATGCCTGTGTGTGATGTAAATTGCCTACTATTCTATACAATGATAGCAGCTATTCGGTTCAAGTTTTTCCTTGTTTATATCTACTGACATGCTCATACTGTGCCATTTCTTATATTTGTCATTCCATCCCTGACAGCTCAAACTGGCCCCCTAT